GGATGAGCTGCGACAGCCTGCCGGTGCTGGGGGACACCGAGGTGCTCTGCATGGGATACAACCGCACGGAAGCCACCACCCTACCGCCTTTCTTCGGGAAGCCCACGCACCCAGCCAAGGACACGGCCAAAAATCTGACGCCGCTCGGCGGGCAGCGCCCCTCGGGGCTGGACTGCACCCGGACTTGCAAGTGCAAAGCGCCCCTAGTCCCCATCTCCAAGGAGTCCCATCCACTGTACAACCGCATCAGGACTGGGCAGGTACCCAACTGCGCCATCCCTTGCTACCAGCCCTACTTTACCCAGGATGAGAAGACCTTTGCCACCTTCTGGATTGGCCTCTGGTCCATCCTCTGCTTCCTTTCCACCTCCACCACCGTGGCCACCTTCCTCATCGATATGGAGCGCTTCAAGTACCCCGAGCGCCCCATCATCTTCCTCTCTGCTTGCTACCTCTTTGTCTCTGTGGGCTACATCGTACGGCTGGTGGCAGGGCATGCCAATGTGGCTTGCAACCCGGAGCACCACCACATCCACTATGAGACCACAGGCCCTGCCCTCTGCACCGTGGTTTTCCTTCTCCTCTACTTCTTTGGCATGGCCAGCTCCATCTGGTGGGTTATCTTGTCCCTCACCTGGTTCCTGGCAGCTGGCATGAAGTGGGGCAATGAGGCCATTGCTAGCTATTCGCAGTACTTCCACCTGGCTGCCTGGCTCATCCCCAGCGCCAAATCCATCGCTGTACTGGCACTCAGCTCTGTGGATGGCGACCCAGTGGCTGGGGTTTGCTATGTGGGCAATCAGAGCCTGGAGAACCTGCGGGGCTTTGTGCTGGCACCACTGGTGGTTTATCTCTTCACCGGCAGCCTCTTCCTGCTGGCTGGCTTCGTCTCACTCTTTCGCATCCGCAGCGTGATCAAGCAGGGCGGCACCAAGACTGACAAGCTGGAAAAGCTGATGATCCGCATCGGCATCTTCACTGTGCTCTACACCGTTCCTGCCACCATCGTCATCGCCTGCTATATCTACGAGCAGCACAATCGGGAGGCGTGGGAGCGGGCGCAGAACTGCTCCTGCCCAGGAGACCCCCACCGCCCCAAGCCCGACTATGCCGTCTTTATGCTCAAGTACTTCATGTGCCTTGTGGTGGGCATTACCTCCGGCGTCTGGATCTGGTCTGGCAAGACGCTCGAGTCCTGGAGGCGCTTCAAAGCCCACTGCTGCCGGGCCAGGAAGCCTGCGGGCGCCTCAGTGTACAGCGAGGCCCGCCCGGCACTGGTAGGCAGGACGGTGCTGCCCAGCATGGCCTCCTACCACAAGCAGGTCCCGCTGTCCCATGTGTGATTGGAGGGAGCCTCGGTGACTCTAGCCACAGTGAGGAGAGGGTTGCAGAGACCCTGGGCCACAGAAGAGGGGGGTGACAGCTGGGCTACCCCTGGCATCTTCAGCCCTACCATGGCAGTGCTGCCCGGGACCGAACATGTGCACCTGCAGGGTACGGAGCAGCCGTGGCCCCAGGCAGGGAAGGGAGAGGTGCTACCAGCGATGTAGGGGCAGAGGGACAGGGAGGCTTGGAGCCTGGCACTGCCGTGTATGCCCCATTTGGGGTCCCATGCCCTGTTTGGGGCCCTGGGGTGCTGCTGTCTGCGAGCTGGTCAGGTGGCAGGTAGCCCTTGAGCACTGATTGTCTGGTCTTGCTGGTGCCAGGGTGAAGGGGAGAGCTGCAGCAGGCAAGGCGGGTGGTGGCCCCCAGCCCCAGGTAATGAGCTGGCACTGGCAC